TTATGGAAAATGACCTAATTACATTGTTTGATTAATTGGGATAATTAATTGAGAGAAATGTGGAAGTGAAATGTTGATTGAATATCCATTGTGCATTTATTTTCTGTTTAGAAATAACTGCTTTGGGCTATCGGTGGAGGATAGTCGTGATTGTTGTAGACAATGCATGATGATTAGGCAAACGGAAACTAATCAATGGAATGTGTCATGGAATTTGACGGTTGATAGAATACATTAAATGTATGTATTGAGTACTTGTATATAGAACCAATGTGTTTATATACGTTATGTGTAGAGGAGGAGATGGGGGATGTACTCCGCGGTTTCGGGGAAGATAGGGGATGTACCTCTAAACCGGATAGTGTTGGGAGAAGATAGGGGATGAACTCCGTAGATACAGCTCATATGCTTGTCTAGAGAAGTGAAGATAGAGCTCATATGCTTATCTTTGTGAAGTGTGGATATAGCTTGTATGCTTATCTGTGAATGTGGGATATTGTTTTTATACATATCTGTTGAGAATGTGGGTAGAGCTTATATGCCTATCTGTTGAAAAAGGGAAAATGAAAGGTAATTTGGACTCATAAGTCGTGTGACATAAATATGTGATTTATGTGATTGTATCAGTGTTGGCCATCTATCAATTGCTAATATTTTAGTCATTGTTCATGGTTGGTTTAGTGTATTTCTACTGGGCTGTGGCTCACCTTTTTTGGGAATATCATTTTCAGGTGCAGGTAGCATGCCACCTCCAAGGACGTAGCTTGGGAGGCTAGAGGCATGCGGACTTTTGTTGTTTTGATCTTTTGATGTATTACATGTATATTCAAGCCAAGGGCTTAATGTGTAAATGAGTTAGTACTCTTTTTGTTGTAACCAAGTGTTAACTTGGAAAGCTGTAAGCCCTTAGGACAATTCCTTTTGTTGTTAACATGTATGGACTGGCTATCGTCATACCGGGCTGCTATCGATTGCTACCATATGTCAACTGCATGTTAATGTTATGGTTTTAATGTTATTATTTTGAGGGCGTTACAATTTGGTATCAGAGCGTACCAGGTTCGAATACTTTGGGTACGTGGGAAGTGATTAGTATCACAATGGGTTTGTCTCGCTTGATAGAGACTTAGATGTAGTATCATATGCTTTGTACTTGATTGATAACATGCTTATGTGACTATGTGGGTATGGGATTTAATTTCTAGGATGTTGATTGGATCCTTGGGTTTCTGTGAGTCTTGTTGGAAAAGCACTTGATCAATGCTATTTCTAGC